ATATAAAACCCTGCCATGTAAGATCACCTGCAGTGCTTTAAGATCTTTGATATTGAAGTTGTTTTAAGCCAGCACCACTCCACTTAAGTTTCAACCCTGCTTGGACTAGCCAATAGCTCATAGGTCCAGTCAGAATTAAATTCTGTTTCTTCAAACTGAGGTTGATCAAAAAATATCTGCACCAGGTATGATACTGATTGTTCACAACCTTTCCACAGAATCTTGTGACCAAAAACACCAAACACCTAAAAGGCTAATTAAACAAATTCTGACTCGTCTGCTCCAGAAGTAAACATGTAAAGAACGCTGAAAAAGATTTTTTCTGCATCAAATGCAAATCTTTCTCTTTTTTTTTCTCTTTTCAGTTTTTGCTTTCCTCTGCAGTGTAATGTAATGTGAATCTTCCTCGTCCTTTTCAAGTAAAATTCCTGAAGTAAAGTTGTTAATGGAGCTAATTTATAGTATAAGGCAGTCACTGTTACAGTATGGATGAGAAAAAGAAGATTGTAATGGCTTCCAGTGCTTTTATAATTCATTTTTTTCAGACTCATTTGTGCTTATTTCAAATAATTACAATCCAACACAGACAGAGGCTCGTTGGAAGCAGCAGATTGGCCTGACGCTGAATGTCTCAGGGATTTATTCACTGGCACTCTGATTTTAGGACTGTTTTTTGGTAAAGAGCCGAGTTAGTGACCTACAGTAAAGACCAGTTTGTTTCCCTCTTCCACCGTGGCATCATCTTTTGTTCCTGTGAAGTCTTGGTATGAGGCAGAACCACCAGAAAAAAACGCCCACACTGCAATAATTTGTTTGCCATTTATGAAAGGAAACAAGCGACTGCTTCCTTTTGTCGAGTGGTATTCCTTCTGGTGTGATTTAGAAAATGTTGCCAGGGAGTGCATTTGCATAGAACAGAGATAATGGCTTTTTACTCTGAACATATTTTCTGAGTGGTAATGATACTTCCTGGAATTAAATTGTGTCTCACTCTGATGGTGTTACCTTTGTCTGTTTTGGCAGGACCCCCTACTCATCACAAGTCAGGAAGCTTTTAGCTTTAACTTTCAGTGTGCTGCAGTAAAAAGTACAACTTTTCTAACTGAATCCTGGATTATCAATGTGCAGTAATATATTTCAGTTTATTAAAAGCTGATCTACTCAACACGATTGCCTACATTTAGAGGGATCCTCTGGCCTTAATGGGATGAAACAATTCACAAACTAAAATAACAAAATAAACTGCCAACTATATGCCATTATTCTAAATCCTCTGATTTTTGAGCAGCCTCACAATCAGCAGTTTTCATCAATAAATAAAAAGATGTTTGAAATGTTTGCAAAAAAATGTATCTAAAACAAGTTAGAGTTTTACGTGGATTTTTGTAGCTTTTGCATTTCATAAATGATCTTTACAGGCCTGCAGGGGATAATTGTTGCATGTGGAGACGTATTAGAGTATATTTTCAATGTTAACCAGTGACAGAAATTTGAACTAAAGATGATAATTTAGGATTCCACTATTAAAAACTAATTTATATTGTGTTATACTTGTGCAATATATGCTCCTGTTTCAAATAACATTAAGTACTTAGAGATTCTGGGGACTAGTTTGAAGTCTTTTTCCTTCAGACAGATGTGATACAGAGAATGTAACACAGAAAGTTGGTTTTATGACTCTAGAATATTGAAACTTCTTGGTCACTTTGTCTGGGTTACCTGCTCTGACGTGATGCTTTTTGACTCCATAACACTTTTCTTTTACTCCTGTATGTTTTTAACATACACTGTGAAATGACTGTATTTTGCTAAACGAGGAGAAATTTAGGCAGGTTTGTTCGCCATCACAGAGCTGCACGAGTAGGAGAAGAAGTGTTTTGACATGACCAGGCTGCGAAAAGGAAACGACCAGAAACTTWACACTGAAAAGATAGAGAGAAGTTCTTCAAGATGACAAGAATAACACCGTCTGTGGCAGTTTTGAGTCCAGAATAACAGGAGGGGAAACAAAAAGGAAGTGAAATTTCTTCAGCGGACACTTTGTATTGTATCTAAACATGCAATCTGTGATCCAGTGTCAGAGTTTCTGCACAGAGAACAGCTTTTTATGTAAACATTTCCAGAAACTGAATAAAAAAAAATCTTTATCAACACACAAGTATTATTGAATAAAGAAAAAAGAAAATAATCAAAAAAAGAGGGCAGGTAAGATCATTCACAAATAATATGAACTATTTATTAGATTAAAACTCTGTTCTACAAAATAGACTTTTATTACGTTATCTCACTACTGAGTTCATAAAATGTTATATGACTAAATTGTAATTTTAATAAAGTTTAGTACAAACTGCTGATAATGGTCTTACCCCCTGGCTGCATCATTAGTTGGGAGGTTAGAGGCTTTAAAGGTTCAGAATAATTAGAAGTAAAAATTAAAAAAGTAAATAGGTAGATGCCACTAACTTCCTCTGTCAATGAAACAAATCAGCAATGAAGAAAAGCCTTAACTGCAATAATATCCATTAATGTTTTACATTTAAAAGTGCAAAAAAAAAMCCTTTTGAATAATGTGAGTACACGTTGTAATTTCTTTAAACCTAATGAATAGCAGCACTCAGAAAAATGGGTTCTGATTAACCTGGTACAATCAATAATTAGTGTGCAGTTTCTAAGAATACTTCAAAATGAATTAAGTTTTTATGGTGTTCAAAATAAATCTCATGCTATTCTGAAAAAGAATTGTGAATTAACACTAGGAGGGAATTAAATTCTCATATAACATGCTCTTATAAACATTGGCTTAATAAAGCAAACAGGAGGTGGTGTTTGCTGGAAAGCATCATATCAGATGTGGAAATCATCACCTAATAAAAACATATTCAAGAAGAAAAAGGTACCTAAAAATACCAGTTTTAGGCCACACCAATGACTGACGAGCAAGGCTTGGGTCAAGTTTGTATGTCTGTAAACACTTGGGAAAAATAAAAAAATMAAACAACACAGACAGGCACAAGTTTTAACCACAACATGAGCTTTTTTAACCAACCTGCTGTCAAACAGTCATTGCCTGAAAGGCTTTTAACAACAAGTCCTGAAAGGTTTGGCCTCTTAAAAGAGGCGACAAAAGAAATGTATTACAGGAGAAACACAAAACAAAAAAAGTGCTGCTCCTGTAGTCACTGGGAAAGAACAGCACTAAATTCTTCATCCACTTCCTGGTGCTTTGTCTCATATTTACACCAAAAAACAAAAACAAAAAAAAAAAACAGGAGGTAGAGAGCTCCCCAGGGACTCTGAGTGGCTGCTGCATGCTATCAGTCCTCAGAAGCAAAGAGGAGGGCCTCAGATCTGTGTGTGGTGGTGTGTGTGTCCAGGCGGTGTGTAGGGAGGCGGCGCMGGGTTGGGTTTGATCCCTCGGCTCTTCATGTAGGAGATAAACTGGTCGGGGATTTCTGCTAGCACGTCTTTGGCGAGCCGCGCCATGCTCAACACATGGTTCCCTGTTCGGTCCATGTAATCTCTGAAAGGAACAAACTGAAAACAGCACAGATTAAAGAGAACACTGTTTTAGGATTACGTGCATATTAAACTTGTACAAATACATTTTATACAGAACTTTGTTTTGACAGAAAACATTTGAGGCGAAGTGTACTTCATTACATTAAATCAAATGTTGGGGCAGCTACAGAGGCAATTGCAAAGTTAATTGAAACAGGTAGAGGTGGGCAACAACATATAGCCTAGAATACAGCTTTGCAAGCACATCACGATAAGCTGGGCCTTTCAAAAACTGATCAAAGCAGCCACGTGGCTTGCTGCAGGGCCAGCCCTGCCCAATTTGGTGCCCTAGGCAAACTTTTAAGAAGGTGCCACTAGTTTAATTTCCTAAATCTCAATGCCAGTTTAAATACATTCACACACAAATTACAGTAAATAGTTTTGTCTTTGATATTATGTTTTATATTTAGGTTGTCAAATTAAAACAGTTAATATAATTCATTTGAAACAGAATACTAGAAATCTACATCATTCCTGCCAACATTTACTGACAGCAATGAGGAACACCAGTTCATGTTAACGACCAGCTGTGGAGTGAAGCAGTTCTAGGGGGGTACATGTGTATACTCTCCCAGAAAATGTTGTAAAAGATTTACTCAAAACTGCCTTTTCCAGCCATTTGAAGAGCGTTTTACTAAATTCTTGGGATTGTTAAAACAACATAAAATCCGTATTTTATGAAGGAACACTGAAAACCAGACTTTAACCTACTTTAACCTTATTTTGTTTTCTATTTACACACTGAGCACCAGTAGTTAATCTTGACCGCAGCATACTTTTATCACGATGCATCCTCATGTAGTAACAAAGCTTTTACCTTCATTAACTATTCTACAAACTAAAAAAAACTTATAAAGTTATTCAAAAAATTGTCCCTCATTTGTGGCGTCCCAWATAGATGACGCCCTCTCGTTTACCTTTACTGTCTATTCCAAAGGCCAGCCATGGCTCGCTGTTGCTTGGTAGAAAAAAATCTAAATCCAGGGATTCAATGATTTGAAATTGAAAACTTGCCCGTTTACTCAGAAATTTTGAGATACAAACTTCTCTCAAACAATTACAGCTTAATAAGATACAAGTGAAAACAAAAGAGTTTGATGTAGCGCTGCAGACTTTCTTTTTTGAATTATTAATCAAAGCACATAAGAATTCTTCAAGATAGCTGCACAGAAAAGGTGTTAAGCTACACAAATCTAGATGACGATTTGTGTTTTATTTAACTAGTAATACAGACATTAAAAATATTCATTGCTGTTAGTACTGGGTAAGACATGTAGCATGGAGCTACATCTGCTATAAAAGACTTCAGAGTGCATATCCTCCTTTAGCCGCCATAAAATTACCCAAATCTTGAGTTTTGATGCATCAGATGCAGGCAGACATCAGATCCCTGCAGCTAAAACAGCTTGACTGGTGTCTGAGTGAACCACAACAGGTTCTTTGAAGGATGAATCATAGGAAACAGTTTTTCTTTTTTGTCCCAAACTGTAGCCCCTGAAACACATTTACTATACGTCCTCATCTGCCTCTGTAGGCAGGAAAGTAGTTTTGACACATTTCACATCAGTGAACGTGAAATACTAGACAAGAAAAAAGTGTTTATGAATTCAGCACCATGAAATAGACACTAGTAAAGGAGAAAAGCRCCCCGTTTTTAAATGTCACAATTCTACATCTGCGGAGAATACAGTCATGGGACCTTTCAGACTCTGAAGGACAGTCACCTGAACAATATCTCTCTCTGCCAGTTTCCCTCGGGATGAGATCCTGATGTCATCACCATCCAGTTCCACCATAGCTGGAAGAAACACACACACACAC